GAACGAATATCTGTTGTTCTATTTTTGCAAGTACGCGTTGATTTAATTTAATTTCGTTTAATAATATTGCTTCCGCACGATTGGCGGCCAATATAATCGCTCTGTACTTTGTGCAAGACAATTCAACTGGAGTCTATGCATATCTCAAAATCGGTTTCTCGTTTCTGGGCTTTCTGAATACGTTAACTCGCCGTTCCGATCGAAGCGTCGCAATCGCTAATCCGATTGCGGTCGCGTAAATTTCTCAGGTGAAGAATAATAATTGAGGTCAAGGCGGGCTTACAATGCGCACACCGTCGGGCAAGCTGGTTGGGTGTGCACGTGTCGAATGGAGATACCGAGCCTCCCTTGTAGACGTAATCGTGCTTGCGGGTGGCTGATTGAAGTGACCGCAATAGTCTGCGGCGATGTTCAGTTCGTCGTCGGGGCGGGTTCTGAACATTCTCGTCGGTCGCGTAAAATCCGTACAGTCGCGGCTAAGCCATATCGCACGGGCGGATTCTCTAAAACGACCCTCGACCAAGTTTCCTAATCAGTATCCGGAGTATCACGGCAACGTTGGCGCTCGTATTTGCGCGAGGAGTTGCGGCAGTGCTGCATATTTCAAATGCGAGTTGTGCGTTGTCACAACGCGCGGTTCATTAAAACGAATATTACACGGCAGACCCGTGATGCTTAATTAGTCAGAAGCGTGATGATCAGAATATCCGGCTGCTCTCGGTATCGCGTTCTTTTATTTTTGAGAGACACGAAAGTGTATGACGCGCGCAGAGACTATGAGGAGGGCGGAAACAAATGATCAATTATTGACCGACCGATCGTTCATTAACGCTCGCTCGAGCTTGTTCCGGATAGTCGACGTCTCTCGTGAAATGACCGCGAGGTCGTGAAAGATAAACGAGATTTTCGGCCGTTTTGTTTGTGGCATTCGGACAATCCTCGGCCAGCCGTTACGGTTGCAGCGAAACATTTTTTTCCTCTCCCTCTCGTTCTCGTTTTCACCATGCGGTGGACGGCAGCTTGTTAAACCTCCAAGTATTTGCCCCGGGCAAAATTCCGCCGGAGGAATCGACGCCCAGAAAAACAGAGTACCTTGGAACAGGTCCAGGCGATGGCGCGCAGCGTGATTCGCTGACGGTCGTCGAGAGGAGGAGAGAGAGGGGGAAGGAAAGAAACGGAGCGCCGCTACTTTTGGCGCGGAATGAAAATTTCTTCGGATCGAAGATTTGATTACCGTTACACTTCGCGAAGCGGAACGGAACTCTCATTCTTCTATCTCTCGTTCACTTGCACGTGTTTATGTTTCTTCACTAATTTTAACTTTGTCCAAACTTTATTCTCGAACGGGCTTTACTTAAAACGCGAATGTCTATTGTCTTAACGGAGAAATTCGAGTTATTTACGCTGCAGTTATATTTAATGCCGTGGATTGAAGATTTTGCAATAAATAACGAGGGACACAATCAGGCGAACGGCTAACCGAATTTCCCACCTAGCGCGGAATCGATCGCGAGCGCGCGAGGGAACGTCGTTATTGTAATTCGCAGTTTAAACATTTTCCGGCGCATTCTGCGCGGGTTGACGAGATTATTGCATTACGTTTCTCGCTCGTCTCAAAGCGCAGTTAAATTAGCAACAATGTTAAAAGGCGAGACGCGCGACCGTTTGAATTCGTACGCGCGACTATGGTTCCATTAGCCTGCAGGACTCGGGTCCTCCGGAGAACTCCGGCCGGCAATGAAAAGTTCCAGCGAGACGCTAAATTATGCAGGGGAATGCGGCGAAGTAATGGCCGTGTGGATTAACCTCGACCTTAGAACGGGCCGCGCTTCGAGCGGCGCTTTTTGAAAGGGGCGAGGTTAAACGATAAGATCCAATTATCGAGAAACAGTTTATCTCGCGGACGAACGAAAGGATAAGCCGGTGGGGAAACTCGGGGTCCCACTTTTCTCCGTGGAATGGACCGGGATTCCGAAAACGTCAAGTTGCACGACGCCGCGGGCTAAGAAAGGCTGATTGTTAACTTGCTTGATGTACGGTCTGTTTAGAAAATCGCTCTATATATATATATATATATATATATATATATATAGAGAGAGAGAGAGAGAGAGAGAGAGAGAGAGAGAGAGAGAAAGAGAAACCGAGAGTAATTACAGAACAGTGGGCGATAAGCGCCAATAGGAAGGCGCCTGTATTTCGTCTCGGCCGGTAGATAGGGGTTGTTTTTATAGGGACGCTTTATTGCCCAAGTTCGGTTACTGTCTCTTACGACCGGCCACTCCCGTCGAGGCGTTTGCCAACGGTCGAGCGTCATGAATAAAGGTACATGCCTGAATTCTCGAGACTCGATCGCCACTTGCTGACACGCAAGTGCTTACGAGAAAGTGCCGACGTGAGGTGGTACCGGTAGCTTTCGTGCTTTGTTTACTGCGCCCTCATGGGCGCGCTATCGCTATGTCCCGATAAGATATTCTCCATCGTGAAACAGAAAACCATCTCGTCACGTAGCAAAGAATCAATTGGAAAAGGCAGAAGGAAGGACGGATAGAACAGTGGTGTAAAATTTTCTTTATGGTTACCGAGGTGTTCGTTGCTCGTTACTTAATTCTCTCGACGTCGGACGATCTTTCTTTTCCGCGGCGCGACGCGTCACCGGTCTTCTTGTATTGTGCGAGACGTGATATATCGTTTCCTTGTTTCTACCATTATTCCGTGGCGCTCTCCCGATACAAGGATCGATATCCATGTCTCGTATTGCCGTACGCTTCGAGGATATATCGGAGCTCATCTCGGAGGATGCGAGCCTCCCTTGGGACGCGGGAATGCAGCTCCGAAGGTGAGCATTCCTCGTGCAAGACGCGCTCGTAATCAGGATAAGAACGCGGTTTGAACACGGGGAACCCGAAAGCCGATGCCTTACGTGACGAGGTTAACAATGTGAGAGGCGAAGCGAGCGAACCAACGGAACCAAACCGAAAATTCCGCACGCGACGGCAGTAAAAATGACAGCGGTATCGCGAACTAAGTGTTATATCGAGAACGGGGTAGTTCTATCTTACGAGAGTGCGCGCGTCAAGAGGCCACGTCGGACGGAGGAAGACTACGTCGCATGCACCGACTCGCCGTTGTGTACGCTCTATTTGTCTTTGGAATATTTCTCTTGCCACACGGATACGTTGCGAAACAACATCTTCGCCGCAGCTGAACTACTTCTTGTTTTCCGCATTTTCCCGCGAAGTTTTTATATTCCTTATTTTTCATAAACCCTCGCGTACTTCCATTTTCCACTCGTAACAAAGGACTTCTTTGTATGCAGTCTCAGATGTAAGGTTCACAGCAAAATCGCGTATTTCGAGAGACGGAAAGATCTATCGCGGCTATATCGCAAATATAAAAGATGCTGGGTAATATCGCGTCGAATTGCTACCACGGAAAGTCCCGTGGTTGTCGTATCACGTTGCGTTAGAACTGCGGACGTTAAGGCATCTTGCCAGGGCCTTCTCAATTTGTTGTGTGATCACAACGAGTTCTTGAGATTAAAATGCAAGCTCGCATGTCGACTGCAACATCGGTCATGAAATAAACCGTGATAGTTGAGACAATTTTTATACTGCATGTTATGACACGAGGAAAGTCGCGATTACAGCCTGCGATTATTTTTATTCCTACGTTTACATTTCGGGGGTCGTACGGAATTTTTGGATTTGTTTACTTCTCTGTGTTTTTTTCTTATTGTTTTTTCAACCGGTTGTAATCCAATTTTCCATTTAGTCCCCGGCAATAAATGGATCGCAACAATCTACGTCTTTTTTTTATAAAAGCTACCGGCTTTAATTGGTGCGCGAGAGCTGATAGACGATATTCCGAGGTTCTTTGACTGCGCTTGTAGGGTAGTATTTGCTTGAAAACATATCGCACTTATGACATATATCTATTTGAGGGCAAACGTGCTGAACTATCACGAGTGCTGTGCTCGTGAAAACTACAAGGGGTTTCAGCGGAAACCAATTCGGCAACTTGACAGAAGAGGGCTAAAGCTATACAGAAGTAAAAAATGCCTATGTAGTAACAATAAAAATATGAATTTATTTTTCCAATCTTCTATGATATAGGAGCACTCTGCTGAATGCCTTGTTAAGTAAACATTTTTATAATGTCCCGTCAAGAGCTTGAGAAATGGCATGTCGCTCGTGACATTTTCCCGAGGATATCTTTCCCTCTTTTTTCTCTTTCTTTGCCTTTCTTTAATACAATATAAATTTTTGAGCAGCAAATTTCTTTAAGTTCCAAGAAGGAATGTAAGACGTTATACATTCATCGTGCCTGTGTGCAAGATCGCATGATTTATTACGTTATTCAGCAATCTTTCACCATTCCCCTTATTGTCTAACATCACGCTTGGTTTTTTAAAGAAAAAAACCCCGCCGCGCGGTTTTCCGCGTTGATTTATTGCGTTAAATTTATAATTGTCGTCAAAATATGCGCGAATAATTTACTCCGCCGACAACGTGCAATTGATTAAACAATGCATTTTCTGTATACCATTATTATGTAACCTGCAGACACGTTGAACAATGAAGGTCCTTTATCTTTACGAGCCTTATTAAAAGCACAAACGCTCTTCTGCAGCAATTTTTAATTGCGATATGAAACTGCGTAATGAGTTGCGAGGCCTCTTGCACGCGTTAATTCATTTTGGACAAATTTCAAATGTGTTTTTCGCACCGTTTGGTCTAAAAATAGAAATCTTACAAAAATTACAACAACTGTTTTTGCGATATTAAACATTTATTTCCTGATTGTAAGAGACAGACGCCATTTTTTAGGTCTATTTTTTCTTTATCCACAATTCTTCTTATGTGAATTTGACATTTGCAAACTATTCATTAACACTAAATATATCGTTATATGTATTTTGTGCGAACAATGTGAACGGTTAATTTGAAAGATTCCTTACAAACGAGACATTCGTTTAATGTGAAATCAATTATCTGTTACAGGACGAGAAGAACCAGTTGCTCATCACGAATCTTTGGCTGAAACTGGTGAGTTTCCTATTCTTCTCAAGTTTCCGATTCGCGGAAAATAAAACGAGTCGCGACGTCTTTCCAATTGATCGTTACCAATTACACGAGCGGCACAAAACTCGTCGAGACTACCTCGGTCATTTTTTAAGAGATTTCCCATTAATTGAGCGACAGTCGAACGACTGATCTAAAGTTGCTGCGGAATCTATCCGAGGGTGATTCAATTATCGCGTCATCCTTGGAGTTTTATCCGAGCACGCGAATCTGGTCGAGTAAATCAGACGCTCATCGCCGCGGCGGCGACATGTGTATGAAGGTGACTAGCAAAAATACCCTCATCAACTGCACCGTGCGCGGCGTAATCAGTTTATACGCGCGCGTTCGCACCTCGAAATTTATCGCTCGAATCGCGTTTTCGCCGCAAGACCGTAAAATCATATTACCTGTGTAAGCAATTACGCGCTGTAATTAGAGATTCACCGTTACACGAAGAATACCCGCCGTCATTCACCAACATTCACCGTCCCGCGCGCTTATAAAGACTCGAACAAACGAGCCACTTTGTGGCGCCACAGAGAAGCGCCACAGATATGTACAGACGCGCCACGGGGAAGCGCTTCAGAGTGGTGCATACAAAGCACAAACAAGACCGGAAGAACACAGTAACGCAAGGACCCTATATTATATTGAAACTTAGTGTCCTGTATCTTTTGGTCCTGTGATAAAGCTTTTGTGCTTTTATATATATTATTCTGAAACGTGTTTCCTCGTGTCGCCACAAAAGTAGCCCGTTTGTACAGGTCTATGGCGCTTCTCCGTGGCGCCACAAAATGGCTCGTCTGTTGGAGGTCCATCGTCGACTCATCGATGTACTTCACATCACGTACGTACATACGAGCGACGGAGAAACGGCAGGGTAACCGTGACGAGGTCGGATCGGATTTTTATCGAGATCCAAACTATTAATAGTGTTGCTGCAACAGGTTACTCCCAGAGCGCGGGGCGAAGTCGCGTCCTTATTAGAGCGAGCCGCGATAATGTTTTCTTCCAGCGACGAAAACGGCTTCCGATTTTGCGCGTGCGAGAGAGAGAGAGAGAGAGAGAGAGAGAGAGAGAGAGAGAGAGAGAGAGAGAGAGAGAG